GGCAGTTTCGTTAACAAAACTCAAGTTTGACCATAATATCAACATACCCAGTAAAATCAGTTATAAAATGTCTTTATATTTTGGATTAAGAGAATTAAAATAAAGTGAAGATTCTCACCATAAAATCGATCAAATATTTTTCCTTACATAAACAAGGAGCATACAAATGATATGTGTGTGTATGTATGCATGTGCAAGGTAATCTTAAATGATACAGTGCTTGTTTAAAGGCGAGCGCAAAGAAATTGAATTTAATGTGGAATTATCATTGACTTATGAAATTATAGACATTCAGTCGTCAGAATGCATTTTGATAGCTGTTAGATGCACCAAAATTCTATTTTAAAATTTTCTTTCAAGGAGAATATTTTTATAAATTTCTACCGATAGCGCACCACAGTCTTCTCGGCCAATGAATGTTTCCTTATAAGGGAATGACTAATAGTAACAATACCATTAATATTTGCATCTATTGTACATTTTTCCTACTTCATTTTGATTTCTCTTATCGTGTATTTTCTAAAAATAAACTCTTGCACATACACACACAATGAAGGTATTTTATAATTTTAACTTTAATTTCTTCTATCTATCTATCTATCTATCGAGACTAGTGTGTACACACACACACACACACACACACACACACACACACACACATATATATATATATATATATATATATATATATATATATATACTGGTAACGTTGGAAAATGAGTGTCACCATTTAAGTAGCTTTTGTAGCTATATTTTCTACATGAGTAAAGTAAGCTTTTCGCTATAGATTTAATGGAGTTGTTGCATGTAAAAAAAAGAATATAGCTATTTAAATTATTAAAAATAAAACAAAAATAAAAGCAAGGTATTATGTGATCTCCTATTTACTAATGATAAATTTATATAAGTAATTGCTCTTGTTGGCATCACATCGGAATATATATATTATAAGAAGGAAAGACCATGTTGCGTAACTAGTAACTATATAAAGTTATATATATATATATGAGGGAATTTTGAAATTTCCTTCATTGTGGTTTTGGTTATTAACTGGTGGCATAAGAAAAAACACTTTTATAAGTTCATCGGCGAAACATATAGAAATTTTCAAAATTTTATTAAATAGTTATCATTCCGCCAGATTCTTATCCAACCTTAATATCTCACTCATATAAAGTGGGTGTGTAAATATGTGTTTGTGTATGCATACACACACACACACATATATATGTGTGTGTGTATATATATATATATATATATATATATATATATATATATATGTATGTATTAGTGTGTTTGTGTGTATATCGCTATTGACAACCAGTTCTTCATGATGACTGAGACGCTTGAGAGTGCTTTTACAAAAACATAACTTGTCCAAAGTTCTTATTCTTATTAATGCGATAAAACGATCATTCTATTAAAAAAAAATTTGGAAAATAAATAAAAGTACAATCAACAGTTGAGAGACAGTTTTTTTAATAACAAAATTTGTTTGAAAGAGTACTTGCTGCCGAAATATACCTTTTTTATATATATATATATATATATATATATATATATATATATATATATTTATATACACATGCGTGCGTGTATTTATGGATGTAATATTGATATTTCAAAAATTAAACCACTCTGGTTGAATTCTCAACATCCTTCTGTAGAACGACATTTCTATTGCTTCTTCATTTCTGAGATTTTGAGGCATTGACTTCCATATAGGAGGACCGATATTACATAACACTTGAGTACACTTTTCTTTGTTTCTACCAAAAATATCCTGTTTCTTAATACTTCGCTTAGTTTTTGGAAGGCATTTACATATTTTATATGTGAGGATTCGGTAACCTGTGAAGGCCACTGACGGCGTCCTCACTACCCCGTCATAAATTTGTTATATATAAAACATATGCGCATGCGTGTAAGTGTTGGCCTAATGGATGTCTCCTTTCATTCAGTGAATATAGAATGGAAAGCTTCGGGCAGCTTCAAAATGACTGTGTGTCTTTCTGTGTTTCTTTTTCCAATTCAGTATCTTTTTTTTTTCCATAGTTCATTTTTTTTTCTCGTGCATTCTGCCTGCCTGTTTCCCTACCTATAGGCATCTGCCGACCTCCATTTTAATCTGTCCGTTATATTTCCGCTCTCTGTCCAAACCCTAAAATGCCAGTGCCACCCTCGCAATAAATAAATAAATAAAAAAATTCCATAGGTTTTGTTAGGATTCCGATGGACGTCTCGTTTTCTTCCCCAATAACTACAAACGTCGCTCCTAAAGTAACGCCTTCTATTTTGTTATGTTTGCCCACGACGTCAGAACCGGATGTTGGTGGTATGGAAGTGAGGCGTTTAACTTTCCCGCCAATAACTTATAATATATATTTTTTGCTTTGTTACATACAGCAGTCTGGCATAATAGCGTCTGATATGAAAGTGCATCGGAAATAGAAGGGTGATATTTGAATTCATCTACGCAGAAAAAATAAACTTATTGACATTCATCGACATTTGCTGAATGTTTTCGGAGAGCAACTAGTAGAATTGAGCTTAGTTGGGTGATGGGTAAGGCGTTTTGGCAGTGGTGAAACTGATCTTTGTGATAAGCTACGCTTTCAGTATCCGCGTATAGATGTCATACTGCGAATTGCAGTGTGCCCAGAAAATGCATAGCCAATGGTTTTTGACTATATAGCAAAACTATGTTTTGTAGTTGAAAAGGTGTTCTATCCGATGGTATTTTTTCTTTATATTAGTTGTACTTTCCATGTCAAAATTCCCTCTCAATATTATTGTTTCCATAACGTTGGGCTTCATCTTGGGATTGAACCTGGGTCATCTTTGGATTGAACCTGGGTCATCTTGAGACTGAACTTAGGTGATGTCGATATGCTAATAATTTTTTTTTTTATTTAATTTAAATTGGCTGGCATTTCTTTTTATTAAATTTAATATCCTATGGTTAAATAACTAAAGATCATATTGACGTTTATTACGCCTAGCGGAATACAGCATGATGGAAATGTGAAAGAGAAGATTATGCAGCGCCAATAAATTACAATGCAGATTACGTGTACGGCACCATTTAAAAAAAACAAACCCTCTCAATATTAGTAAAGAAATGGATGCTAGATTGTTTTAATATTTAACACAGTTTTACGTAACATAAGTCCTTTGTGATCTGGCTGTCTTGAATTTAATAAAATCTACATATACGACGATTTGCATAACATTTTTTTTTTTTTTACGTAATAAGGGCTTTATCTGATTTAAGGAACATATTCTTCCCCTACTCGAATTAGTTCATTAAATTGGTGTTTTATTGTATATTTAAAATTAAATATCAGGTCTCTTCATGACGGATGCGATTTTTCTCCCCCGAATCTTACATATTTACAAGGCTACCATTCGTTCATGCTTAGAATATTACTGCCACATATGGTCTGGTGCTCTTGCTATATATTTAGCGATATTTGATGAAATCCAAAGAGGAATCTGCAATGTCATTAGTCCTGATCTGGCATCGCGGCTTCAGTCTCTTTGTCACCGCCGTAATGTAGCTCCACTGTACCTTTTTTATAAATACTTTCATGGCAATTGTTCGGGTGAAATCTCCTCCATTGCACCTGGACTCTATGAATTTAAGCGCATTAAGAGATTGGTGGCAAGATCTCATCATTTTAAAGTTGAAATGGCTAGATGAAACCGTAAGTTCTATGCTAAGAGTTTCTTCTCTAGCACTTCTCGCTTGTGGGACTCTCTTCTGGCTTCTTGCTTTCCAGTTAAGTTTGATCTTCAAATATTTAAGTGCAATGTCAATCGTTATCTTCTGTCTTCTTAATTCCTGTTCTTTTAATGCTGTTGCTACATAATAATGTTTTTTTCTTATATTTATTCGCACTCAGTAACCGCTTGCATCTTCGTGGCTTTCTTACCTTGCTTGAAGGGAAAAAGATTAAAAAAACAATGATAACGAACTGTTTTCCCATTGTCTTCTCCACGGATCTGAATTTAGAGATGGACTTTAAAATGAGAGAGCCCGGTTTGTACTACTATTTAACTCATAGATAAGGGTAAAAAGTAATGGATTCATAGTATTTTCAAGGGCTGAAATGAACTCAACTGATCTAGGTGGAATTTGAACTCGGCTTGACGATTTCACTACGACGTTAATCCCACCAGCTGTTCAGTTGTACGATTCTTAAACATTTATACTTGTAAGGTAATTTTTGTTTTTGTTTTAATGTTTGGTATTTTAAACTTGATTATTTAATAGTGTTTAAATACATTGAATTATTTTTCGTCTATTTTTATGTTCTCAACATGATTTTTATTTATTTATCTAATAATTCTCCGGTTGGTATCGTCTGCTTCTTTCTACAACGTCGTCTATCTTTTGGTTTTCTTTCTATCATCTCAATTAATAGATTTACTTCTGTTGATAATACTGCGAACAAGAAAGGGCTCAAGAAAAAAAAGAAAGAAAGATAGACCCGTTCTTAATATACCCAACCTCATAAAACACCTCTCGATGCACGCGTGTATGCCTGACCCCACATTCAATTTACATATTCACATACACACGTGTGTGTGTATGTATTTCTATATAGTAGTTTTACGCTTAAATGACAGACACTTCAAACACTAAATTCTCTAAAGATGTCTTCAAAAACACCTTTTTTCTCGATGTTGCTACCATTAAATTCTCTTTAGCTTTTCTCTCTTTTTCAACCCTGTCGTGTTAGAATGTTTGATGACACCACAAATGTTCTACTGCAACATGAACGTGTTTTGTGGTTATACATACATACATACATACATACATATATACATACATACATATATATGTATTAGGAGTATCCGTGAAAAATTTACGATTTTTCCCGATTTATTTTTTCTTTCTTTCCTTATCTCACTGAAATCAAACAGCGTCTCTAATATGTCTTTTCCGTCTCTCCTCGAAATCAAAACGGAACAGTCTATTTTTTATGAGGTATTAGCAGGGCGTCCTTTTCTTTATTCCCTTTCTTTCTTCTCTTCCCTACCCTTACTCCCTTACTACCGTTACTCCCTTACTACCGTTCTTCTTTTCCCTTCCTTACTCTCCTCCTCACTCTCTTTCTACTCCTCCTCACTCTCTTTCTACTCCTCCTCACTCTCTTTCTACTCCTCCTCACTCTCTTTCTACTCCTCCTCACTCTCTTTGTTACTTTCCTCACTCTCTTTGTTACCTTCCTCCTCTCTCTCTTTTCCTTCTCTCTCTCTCTCTCCTCTCTTCCTCCTCTCTCTCTCTCTCTCTTCCTCCCTCTCTCTCTCTCTCTCCTCCTCTCTATCCTCCTTCTCTCTCTTCCCCTCTCTCTCTTCCCCTCTCTCTCTTCCTCCTCTCTCTCTTCTCCTCTCTCTCTTACTCCTCTCTCTCTCTCTCTCCTCTCTCTCTCTCTCTCTCTCTCTCTCCCTTCCCTCCTCTCTCTCTCTCTCTTCCCTCCTCTCTCTCTCTCTCTCTCCCTCACTCTCTCTCTCTCTCTCTTCCCTCTCTCTCTCTCTCTTCTCTTCCTCCTCTCTCTCTCTCTTCCTCTCTCTCTCTCTTCCTCCTCTCTCTCTCTTTCTCCTCTCTCTCTCATCCTCCTCTCTCTCTCTTCCTCTTCTCTCTCTCTCTCTTCCTCCTCTCTCTCTCTCTCTCTTCCTCCTCCTCTCTCTCTCTCTCTCTTCTCTCTTCCCTCTCTCTCTCTACTCTTCCTCACTCTCTCTCTACTCTTCCTCACTCTCTCTCTACTCTTCCTCACTCTCTCTCTCTACTCTTCCTCACTCTCTCTCTCTCTCTCTCTACTCTTCCTCTCTCTCTCTCTACTCTTCCTCACTCTCTCTCTCTCTACTCTTCCTCACTCTCTCTCTCTCTACTCTTAACGGGTAATAGGGCTCACTATCAGGGACAGAGCGTATGTAAATATAAAAGGACACTAAGATCATTACTGAACGGCGATTGTCTGTTTCATGCTTGAACACATTCTTCTGGTCATATATGTATGAGTGTATATATATATATATATATATATATATATATATATACGCACATATTTTGTTCATCGTTTGATACGTTTTGAATTATATATATATATATATATATATAGTAAATTTATGTAGTAAGACGTTTTTCGAACTACTTTTGCAAGAATCAACTGACAAGATTTTTCTGTTCAGTGTTTTGTTGTATTTTTCCAATTTTTGAACAAGTTATTTTACATTGGGACCTTATTGTGGATCAAAAATAATCCGAAGTTGATTTTTTGTTCAAGTACTTTCGAATGTCTCGGTCATTATCAAGAAGACTTTAAGCTACAATCACACACACATTATCTCTCTCTCTCATATATATATATATATATATATATATATATATATATATATATATATATATATATATAAGATTAATGACCGAGTTGGATTATCAGATCTCAAAAATTAGCGTACATATTACACAGTTACGTATTACTTACGTGTTCTATATTGATACAGATATAAATAGTAACTGAGAATAAAAACCTTTGATTCAATTTTTGTTAGATGATTATTTTAATGTGTTTTACGTATATAATCTAACCGATTTTATGTAGATTTTTCTTCATCTTGTTTGAATTTCCATCACTTAAAAAAAAAAAATAAAAAAAAATTCCCAGCATCCCACGTTCGTACAAATGTGTAGTTGCATCAATGTAAACATTACTTTAGACCAGCGTTTTTTAACAGGGGTTTCCCGGAACCCTAAGGTTCCGCAAAAGTTCTCCAAGGGTTTCCGAGAGAACAGTTGAAATAAGCTTATACACTTTTGATTTTTTTATTTAATTTCATATAAGTAATATAACTAAACACACAATATATTCTTGGTTATTGTAATATAGACATCATCCTATTCCTATCTAACCTATTATGTTACTTAAAAATATATTGATATATTTATAGTAAAGGATAAAAAAAAGTGATGATGCTAATATCTGTTTTCGTTGTTTACATTTATATTATAGGTAGATGATATTGGTAATTATATTTATTTTTTACGTTTGCATTTAGAATTTTTTTTGTGTGTGTGAATGAAAACACCCTGACAAAGTATTATAAACGAACAGTATGAATTACCGAAAAATTTGACAAAGAAGTATTAATTTTTCCTTGAACCAGTTATTCAAAACTATATACTATGATATTTACCACGTGAACGAACTTGAAAATAAAATGAGAAGGATATGGTATATAATTTTGTTTTTGCTGGAGGAGGTGGGGGTCCTTGAGACATGTAATTTATTTTAAGGGTTACGCAAGGGTAAAAGGGTTGAGAAATGCTGCTTTAGATCGATGATGTCCTAAAGGACGAAACACGTCACACGAAAACTTTTTCCACTTTGTCATACATCTTTCTCCTAAAACTGTTCTTGATATATAAACATCTTATATATCGTTATCCCGTATATATATATATATATATATATATATATATATATATATATATATATAAAAAGTGAACATTGAAATCAACAGACAGGGCTTTTTCATGCTAGATGCAATCGTCAGGCGGCCTGACGATTGCGTCGAACATAAAAAAGCCTGTCGCCTCTGAGTGTTGATTTCAATGTTAACTTATATATATGTGTGTGTGTGTGTGTGTGTAGACAAGGTCTGTCTGTTAACTTCTTAATAAATTTTTACCAATTCCGACTAAGTTGTTTAAAGTCAGAATTAAAATTGGTAATCTTTCCAAAAGTCCATCTTTTTAATCTGAATACTATATATAAACCATATATATATATATGTGTGTGTGTGTGTGTTTTCTATCCAACATTTCAGGGAACCTAAGGCCTGACACTCGCAAACGCAAAGAAATAAACAGATAAACTAAAGTTCTTTACACATTGATTGGGTGATTTGGAGAGATATATCTGAATGTGATGACCCTCCCCGCTTATTGAGTACTTTTCGGTGTATCTGTTTTCCGAAACGGCAAGGAATTGTTGACGAGCAAACACCAAGGTCAGCTTTCAAAATTGTCAGATTAGAACAGTTTCGAGTAACGTGAGTTATTGAAAGGCAATAGAAACTTTTCAACGAAGTTGAAAGAGTGTGTGTCTGTGTGTGTGTGTGGGGGGGTGCAAACTTTAATTTTAATTCTCGCGTCTCTCGTTTCGGCATTTAATCCGGCGTTGGCGAAAGAATAAAAATGTAAGAAAACAAATTGATACACTTAAGAAAGTGAAAAGGCAACCTAAACCCCAAATGACTAACTCTTGATGGTGATACTTATTAAAAAATGTGTCTTTTTTTATTTTTTTATTTATCTATTTATTTTTTTTTTCGTAGAAGGGCCAACGTGGTGGGGGTGATGGAAGGCAGATCGGGTGGGGGAGGTAGTACATAGACTTGATTTCGGTATCTTTATCAATGAAGATCTTGTCTCAATGCAGCTAGGTGTAGAAATTGAATCGTCCTATGTAAATAGTTTTTCTTAGATCATTATAAATAAATAAATATACTGCGAATAGAAGTAACTGAAGTATCAAAGTAATGAACTTCTTTATATATATATATATATATATATAATTACCGTCTTTTTCATCCCATTAAATCTATTTACAATATAATCACTGTTTCAATCTTTTTTGAAAACATTCATTTTGTTTTTGTCAAGTATCAACTTTCGCTGGTTATTTTGATTTAGATATAGTATTTTTTTTTTTTTTTTTGCCAAGATAATTTAAATTAAAAAAAGAAAAAAGGGCGTGACTTGAACTTATCCACATAAAATTAGCAATTTCTCTCCAATAATATTATCCGACCGACGTAATCCCAAAGCGCCAATTTCTTGGATAAAAAAAAATCTCAAGTTTAAACGGACATTATCATCCTTAATATCAATTTCAAAAGTTAAATTTTTCAAATATAGTTTCTTCACTACAAATTATTCAAATCAATAATGTGTAAATATTTTCACACTTAACTTAAAGAATCTCGTTTAATGATGATAAACTGATCCAGCAAAAAAGAGTTAATTCGAAGTTTATGATAAACGAGTTCTTGATCTTAGTTCTTGATCATAATTTATCACATAAAGGTCATCATATTGAGCGCGTCTCAAGTAAGTCGTACTTTAAAGCAATATTGAAAACGTTGACATAGTGTTTTGTTCGTTGAATGATTTTTTTTTCATCGAAATAGACAATTATGTGAAAGACCATTTACATCACTGTTTTTATGAAATATAAAATTTATTTTATTTTAGAAGTAAAATTGAACTGTTTTGCATATGCAGAGAGCACACATTTTAAATTTTACAAAATCACAAACTTTTTAATTTCATAAATATTTAATGTAATAGTATAACATTCAAAATTATTTGGATTTATGAAAACGAGTGTTTTATCAAACATTAATCTAACACACATACATACATTTATATATATATATATATATATATATATATATATATATATATATATATATATATATATATACGAAGCAAATAAACACTAAAATAGCTGTTTAAAATCGTATGTGTTAAAACAGTGGTCAATATAAAGTTAGAAAAAATCCAACCTGTAGAGCGAATTAATATCTTAAAATAATAAAACGATGAATGGAACACTACCACGCTTTCGACGATGAGACCTTAGCAGTCAAAACCGTGGCTTGTTTTTTATTCAGCGTTTTGTTATATATATATATATATATATATATATGTGTGTGTATGTATGTATTAGCAATTTGTAATTGGAAGGGATAATTCCAAAGAGGTCACTAATTCAATGAGAGCTCAATGTAAGTTACAGAGCAATATTTAATGATAAATAAGAAAACGTCTTAAAAATCCACATCGGTTATCATTTATTTCATGGCCTGATGATTGCGTTTAGCATGAAACAGTCTGTCGCCTCTGAGTGTTGACTTCAATGTTCACCTACATATTTAGGCCGGTAGACGAAAATAGACTGTTTAATAAATAAATGGAGCATCTACTTAAATTAATGTTTTAAGCGAGAACTATATATATATATATATATATATATATATATATAAGATCGAATTAAAAGCAAAAGATAACATATACACACTCTTACAGAGAAAAAAAAAACACACACACACTCACTTATGTGTTTGCGAGCTAACTTGCGAATGAGATCGTGTTTTTTATCGTGTGTGTGCTTTTACTTTTGTTCACTTGATACAAGGCTCGAAAGCCACTCTAGGTAGAGGGTTACTGAATGAGATTGTTATAAGTACGTAGGGAAGGAAGATGAGGAACGTCGTGAGGATATTTAGGGTAGATATCGTTTGATCTCTAAACTCGAAGAGGTTAAGATTATAGTGGTCGAGGAAGCATCCACTCGGGAGTCTGTTCCGTATCATGACATTTCTGGTTAAGAACACGTCTGCGTGTGGATGTCTCTGTGTTCTTTTTTATTTTTGAAAAAAATTAATTCAATAATATATAGCACTGTCTTCTAGAGGAATTGATTACTTTGAATTAACATTGTTTTATTTTTAGGGCATAAAAAAATTCTTTTTTATATGCCAGTTGGCATATAAAAGTACATTTTTCACACACACACATACACACACACACACACCCACACAATCTCGGAGAGACTCTTTCTTCTCCAGTATCCAGATTTCTTTAATTCTTCGTTTACAACCTGACCTTTTGTTTCACCCAGGGAAGCCAGAAGATAAAAATTTGTAACAAGTACCACCCAGACAGCGAAACAAGTGAGTTTCCATTCGTGATCGTTCAAAACCTTCACATATTCGCACTAAGAACAACAGAATGCGTCTATCTGGTTATAATATATACATGTCCTCATTTACATATTACATGAGTATTAATGAAAGACTTGCAATTGTTCCATAGCCTAATAGGTTGGTGGGTAC